AGTGTACAGTTTATTAGAGCTTGCTGCTCCTGAAAAATGATGTTGTTGAGAGCGGTGAGACTAAACCATGCAGTTAGTAGCTGTTAAACTAAGACATTGAGCTAAAAGAGACTTCTGGAGGTGGTCAGAAGCAGCTCCTTATTCAGACAGCGGTGGGGTTAGCAGACCGTCACTTTAAAAAACACTCAGGCGTGTTTCTATGCAAAGATGTAGCTGGAATGACCAAATTCAATATGCTCATAGTAATGCCAAATACTACTCCCTTGATGAAATGTCATTCACACCTTTTCAGGGTCCAAGGAGATGTCCTTAAATATCTTGTTTGTTCAAAAAGTCCAAAACCTGAAGATAACTCCGTTTATATAATTATATTTATATATAACTGTATATATAATAAAAGTCTCTCACTGGAGAAGATGGAACCAGAGATTTGTTGGCACTTGATTGACAGCCAATGTCTGAAATGATTTATTGATTGTCAAAATAGTTATTTTTCTGTTGATCATCTAATTGATTAATTCATTTTAACTCTAATTTATATTGTCGTTTCTTCATTAACAGATTGCAAAATTGTCAAAAGTGTCAAAGTTATCCAGCACTCAAACAAACTACGTTTCACTGATTCTTCATGTCACAACACTTTCCTGGTTGCAGTGAGACAAGTGAAGTAAAAAGTACATGATCAAGTTCATGAATCGCTGTCAGTGTCCGTTACTTGTCACAGTATACTTGGCTCCACTAGATCCACAAGATCAGAAATGTACTGTATAAGCTAGGAGGGTGGTGAAAGAAGTATTCAGATGCTTTGTGAAAATAACAATACCACAACGTAAAAATACTCCATTACTAGTAAAATCATTTAAAATCATGCTATAATCAGAATAATGTACTTAAAGTATAAGTAAAAGTAATTATTCTGCAGACACATATTGAATTTGACATTATTAGGTTGGTAATACTGATCAATGGTTGACTACTATTTTACTGTTACAGGTGGCCAAGGTGAAGCCAGTACTTTATATTCACTTAGCTAGTTTAGTCCAGCAGTTCCCAACTTACGAGCCTTTTCAAATGGTCACAAGATAAATCTGAGGGGTCACGAGGTGATTAACGTGAGAGGAAAGAAGAAAAAACAGAAATTTTTTTTGTCTTTTCTCTGATCTTTTTTTGTTTTAATATGAGTAATTTAAAAAAGTTGCCGAATCAGTGTAGTGGATAAAAAACTACAATATGGCCCTCTGAAATGTAGTGTACCACGGATAACAATGTGTTGTATTTTAGAAGTTTATCAAATCTTAATCTGAAAAGTAACTACAGCAATGTAACTAAATTGTCAGACAAATGTAGTGAAATAACGGCATGATAATCCACTTCTCTGTTGTTCAAAACAATCATAGTTTCACCACATTGTGGGTTAATAAACATCTCTCTCTACAAAGTCATTTGCACTTGTCAAAGTGCCCGCCCATTAATTTGCTTCCAAAACCAAGACATTCGCATTTATATTTGGTTAATCAAATAGATAAAACAAATGTGAGCCTCTAAGCACAAAAGTCAAGATGAAGGACACTTGAGAAAATCCTACCTCACCAAGGTAGGAGAACAAACTCAAGATTCAAAAGCCTTGTCATCTGCGCTGTCAACCAAAGCAATGACACACACATTTTAAAATGTAGCATATATTCTAATACATGAAGTATGACATGAAATAAGTATTATTGCAATATCATATTGGAAATGTTTGATCATTAAAGACATAACATTTATAATCCACAAGGATTCTTCAGAAGAAAAGAACCAGGACTGCCCTGTCCAGTTATATATCATGATATATTACATGATGCACTACGTGGGTTGTGCAAAGGCAATGACACTGTGACACTTGGGACTGCCACCTTTTCCCAGGAAAAATGCCTAAAATCATATAAATGAATAAGAAATAACTCCTCAACCATTTGGCCTAGATGTACAATTCTGGTCAGAAGCTAAGGAATAAAAATTGTAAATATATACATATTTATTTTACCATTACAGACTAAATGGAGATGCAATAAAGAAAAATATGATAAATATGAATTTTCATCTTCACCTGGTAAAAAAGCTATATTTTTAATGCAATAAACCATCAAAACCATAGATCGTAATGCAACTGAACATCTTTAATACACCTGTGATGCAATTTAACTGTAAATTTGATGAAAATAAACTGAAACAGTTATAATACAATATTTTTAAAAATGTGCCAGGCAAATGTCCATATTTTGGCAATATTTATTGTTCAAATGTTGACTTTTATTGGGAATTATCTTTAAAACATTATTTCTGTCCATATAACCATGTTACCCTGCGATGGATTTGTGACCTGTCCAGGGTGTACCCCGCCTTTCGCCCGATGTCAGCTGGGATTGGCTCGTTCCAAATAACATAACACTGAAATATTGATAAAAACATATAAGAATATTCATCAGCATTCCCATGACAAAAAGCACTACCATGACCTTTCGTTTGATACCCTGGATGTAGCTACTACAGTCGGCCAGACCGCAAAAAAGACCAGGTGTTCCAAAGCGGCACTTCTCTTAAAAAGCGAGAGAATGCAGCCACAGCTCCCAGGCAATCAAGATAGACAGTGATTACAGAGCGATTTATGGTGTGATATAAGCTCATTTAAATGCTTGGTGTTTGGTGTAGATAAAAATGGTTGGTTTGAGCTTCGAGCTGAGTCTCCTATCTTCACAGAGGTGTGTAGCATGGCAAGACAAGTTTCAGACATGAATTTCCCCATTTGCGCGGAAATCACGTGCTGCCCCTGGTACCGGGGGTGTTGGTGCTCAGGGCCCGTATTTATCCAGCTTCTCAGAAGTACTCATAAGAACGCTGCAAAGAACTGACTTAAGAGTAAAAAAATTCTTGGCTCAAAGCTGCACTTAAAAGTTAGTTATCAAGCATCATAGTCCTAATTTGAGTGAAGTGTAAGACTAAATCAGTCTGAGAGCTGATTCACGACACTTTGCTGTGCCGCAAACAGGATTTTGGATGACGATGTAGCCACGGACCAATCACTGAGAAGATTTCCTTCTTTAAGAATATTTTTAGATGAATTCACATTGAATGGTGAAATTCCTAAAAGGAGTTTATATTATCACATAATAATATAATAAATATCACATATTTGATAATTAAAAATTTTCAAGAGAAAACATCATGATATAGGCCTACACGTTAATAAATGAAAGATAACGTTTATCTTTATATGAACACCATCAAATGCGCCTACTACTCATGTATTGCCGGCTATTTGCATAAACTGTTTGCTTCTGTTGGATTACGGGGGATGTTGTTGGGAAGCCAACGAAACGCGTGACAGTGTGTGGAGCTACAAGTGCAATAATTGTTTCCATGACCATTCGGCTTATTGATGGTTGTGACGGGCCAAAATCATCAGCATTGCTGCATTTGTCCTGTAGCAAATAAATGAAGCGTCATCATTACATTTACATTTATTCATCACCACCTTTAATTTAACTGAAAAGGCATTACTGCATAAGAGGTGGTGAGATGACGTCCCTCACCAGCTCGCTGACAAAGTTTATGCCTGCGCTGTCCGACCCCGTCTAACTGTGTGTCGTCAAATAATTCAGAAATTCTTGCTCTCCTGAAATATTCGCACATCTCTCTGTCTCCACAGTGCCGTCACAAGCCCCAAATAGCAGCTCCTAATCACTTGAGAGACCTCTGGAGCTGCCTTAAATAACTGGGAGAGTAAGAGTGATTCTTAGCTTTAAGAAATGTGATAACTGGCTTTTATTCTTACTTTATTTAAAAGTAGGAGTAAATTTCATGAATTCTCAGCACTTAAGACTACAATGGCACTTTGAGAAGCTTGATAAATACCAGCCCTGGTGAAGTATATTCTAATACAGAAGGACCAGTACAACACAACATGAAATAAGTATTATTGCAATATCATATTTGAAATGTTTGATCACTAAAGACAGAACATTTACAATCCACAAGGATTCTTCAGAAGAAAAGAACCAGGACTGCCCTGTCTATCATGAGATATATATATATATATATATTGGTGTTTTTATATTACAACAAATCAACATATGTTAAATGATCCACTACGTGGGTTGTGCAAAGTCAATCAAACTGTAACTTTAACACAAAATCCACTTAAATGCTTAATAACTATATTTTGCATTGCACTTTTGGAAATGTTTGTGCATTGTGTTTGTAAATTTAATGTACATACTGACTGTTTTGAATATACTCATTAGGGTGTAACTAGGGCTGGGATCAGTGCTTCTATTTTGGTCAGTGCTTCTATTTTATTTTCAAGGTGCCCTTTTGTCATGGGGACTTGATCTGAGTCACTCAGGTGTCAGGTGTTGCTAATATTTTGCATTCATGCATTTGAGTATGTGAATGGGGTTTGCATTTATTTATATGCAAATCAATTCAAATGCACATCATGGTAAATGAGGAACACCTGCATCTTGAGCTGTTTAGGCAACTGAATTCTCGCCATCATAAGCACACGTTTTGCGTTAAAGCTTAATTATTTTTTTTTTATATAAAAAACGATCTCATTCTTTAAGACATGCTTTGTGTTGAACACAATTAAGTATAAATCATGGAGTGGAGTTGGAAATTCATTTTTATTGGGGGTAAGTCATACAATGATATACATGTGTTTAAAAGATGGATTTTTGGTTAAACTTTAAAAACACTTTTTAAAGTTCTATATATGTTTTAGTTTAGATATTTTCGTGTTGCTTATTTGTAGATTAAATCCTATATGGTGAAGAAGAACATGACTTCATTTATTTTTCCTAAACTGATTTATTAGATTTCCTAAATTAATATATTAGATTTTCCCATTGACAATGACACATTCTGAAACAAAAATGTAATTTTAAACAACAAAGAAACTGACTATGAAAATGTCAGAACTGCACACTCACATGAGTTTCGTGTCAATTTTGAAATGTATTTGCAGGGTCCATCCTTCTCACTTTCAGGATTACTCACCAGGCAGGTAAGACAAGTATAAAAGTTGTATGAATATGAATAAGTGAAAGTACTCATTCTGCAGAACACCATCCTGTCGTTTTTAAATATACATGACATTATTAGATTGTCAGTACTTAACGTGGTGATTGGGCCCCCTTCAAATGGTCACAAGTTAAACCTGATGGGTCTCGATGTGATTAATAGAGGGAAGAAAGAAAACAAATTTATACATTTATATTTATTTATTTTGGACTGTGTTTCAAATGTTCTGGGTCTTGAAAAGTCTTAAAAAGCATTCAATGTAGTTTACAATCTAAAGTAACAGGCATTTTGTTAATTTGCTTGTTTGGATGCAGGATGAAGATTATATGAACAATTAAAGAACAATCTTTGACAGACTCATTAAGCTACATATGTAGTCCTTTTGTTAGTTTCTGTGAATAGATTTTCTGTCTTTAAAGGGGCATTATGCAGTTTGCAAAAAGGCAGCGTGACAACAGCTATAGACAGACAGGAAGACAGCTTTACACAAACTGGAAACTAAGGGAAACTCCCACTGCAATGTTACAGTAATATTTTTATCAGCTGCTTGAGGTTGAACTAATCGATGCTCATTACATGATAACTACCATTACTATCTGTGTATATTTCACCGGAGGCTCAGCAATGTGAGCACATCTGACGTAAATGTATGATAACGAAACGGTTAGTAGACTGGGTCGCGTTAGTTAGTGAAGTAATGTGGAAAGCGATACAACTTTGCACCAGAAAACATTTAACGTGACTCTCTCTGTGTTTCTCAAGCCTTTTTGATGTTTACTGTGTTGTGTTAACTTGACATTATCTCAATCTGTTTGGTCTGATGGGCTTCAGCACATAAAACTTTATTGTTGTTTTGTGTCCTTACGTGGCGTTTATGTTGGAATCTGTGTTTTGCTGGGAGATGGTTGTTTTATGGTGTTAGTGGACAGTATGTTGTTAGCTGTGGTTTTGTCGATGTGATCAAAGAGAGCCTCGCAAGTGCTCGCAGAGTCCTCACATTAAAAGCACAATAGTGGCTGATGCAAGCAACAGAGAAAACTTCTTGCTTCATTTATAAGTAAGGCGACAGCCCATTGTCAATAAGGCAGTGAAAATTAGATTTATTAATTAGTGATTTCAATGAAAAACTACATACAGCCCCTTTAATTTTTCAGCATGCTTAGGCTTATCATCAAGGTCTTTCCTGTGTAGATGTTTTTACATATTTGGCACTGCAAACAAGTATTTGATTATTTAGTCTATAATCACTATAATCACTTCACTGTGCCTACTCTCCAGCTAATGTGGCTCTGGGTGGAGTGGCTGCTCAGTCATCACTGTTTGACCCCTCGTTTCTGCCAGACGTGGTGATTGATGGCAAATCTATTTCAAACTATTTGCTTGGGAGCTGCACTGCCACTGATTGGGAGACCAACCCCTGGTGGAGACTGGACATGCGGGCTCCATACAACATCTCATATATTGAAGTCATCCGAAGATCAGATTGCTGCATTTATGAGATACAGGGGGCTGAAATACACATTGGTAACTCACTGGAGAACAATGGCAACAACAATCCCAGGTGATGTAATGGTTGTTTCACATTGTGTGTAGGATATTTTCAGTTTGGGAGGGGCTATTTTAGGAGTCGGCAAATAAGTCTGGCATCGGGCCAAATTTTTCCAAGCCGTTATCAGGCGGGCCAGAACAAAGTCAGACCGAATGGAAGAATGCCCATGTTTAGCTCAGTTGGTACCGTGCGGGACTCTTGAAGGGTAGGTTGTGCAATCGATTCTATCTTATTGGGGATATTTTTTCTCCCTTGTTAAACAAATTGAATAAAAGGACAGTTCAAATGCTCACATAAAGCAAGCTGCAGTGTGTGCCCGGCGTTTGATCCGCATTCATAAACCTATGGACACTTATTTTAATTTTTCTGGGGAAAATTCAGGGGAATCCAATCACACGTTTAGTGACGGCTTTTTCAGAGGTGTGTCAAGCAAACAAAGAGATTCTTTGAATGTCCTTCAGAACTCTTCAAAGTAAAAGCTCGACATAAAGCATTGCTGCAAAATACATTCTTGCGCTTTTATTTTAAAGTCACAATCACTTAAGAGGAAGTGGTTATGTGAGTAACTGTTGCTGTCATGACTGAGATCTATTTCAGCACAAGCGGGGCCAGATATTATTGTAGGGCTATTTCTTTTGATTTGCACTAACCAATCAGTAGCAGGTGATGTATCGGCAACACTGGTGTCATTTTCAACTGTGTGTGTGTGTGTGTGTGTGTGTGTGTATATATATATATATATATATATATATATATATATATATATATATAAAGAAAAACACAAAATTCAGGTGAAATGCATGTGAAACTGAAAGTAAATGGAAAAACTTCTTAACAGGCAGGAATCTTACCACAAATCTGCAGCTCAGATGAAGTGCAGCTCACAGTTCCAAACAGAGCAAGGCTGGCTTCAGTTTTTAGATGTTTATGTTGCAAAACTCTATCAGCTACGTTACCACTCGTCACAGCGGTCTGTACTCTCAGACAGTTGCGAGCAGGTTATGCCGGTGTCAATCATTGGGCAGTGTTGATCTGATAAGTTAGGCCTATACATTTATATTTCACTGCGTGAGAAAATTAATGTGTGGCTTGACAACATGTGAAAAATTTAATTTGTCTCGCGAGACAGCTTTTTACCTGACCTTGTCACCACTTAATCTCCCAAGATCTCGTGGTGCGAGATGTCATCACACTCCCAGTAAATTATACTGTATATAAATTGTACATATACTCACTCTATTCATATATTTAATACCGTACATAATTAGTCATTTAGTGCTGAAACCTCATATTACCGTATATCCTGCTTCTTCATATTATTATTTTTTAAGTTATATATTCAGACAAATCTTCATTAACTAGCATTCTTTGGAGGTAGGAATCGTCATCCTGCTGTCAATCAATAGCTTTGTTTTTCTGTCTTTTTGCCCATCAGATGTGGAGTCATCACTGTGACCAGTGAAATTAAATATGTCTTTAACTGTGACCAGATGGAAGGACGTTACGTCAATGTTTTCATCCGTGGTGTAGGAAGGCGACTTCAGCTTTGTGAGGTCAAAGTGTACGCCACTACAACCCCTACAGGAAGTAATGCAGCACTGAGCAATGGCCTCTAAATAGTTGGTTCAATTATGCCATAATTTCTGTGTGAACATAATGCGGTAAAAATTGACACAATATTGTTTAGTGTTATTGATCTTTAGATTTACAAAACAACTTAATTGAAGAAACCAGTGTGTCCATGTTCAGCTTTCTGCTGAATTTAGATCCAATTTTATGCTCAGACATCAATGGTTTCCAGTCCGTGCGTGATAAAATTTTCTTTGGAGTTCAAAATATATATACTTTTTCATATGTATTCATTTTTCGGAGTAATGTTTGTGAAAATGTCAAGACATCTGAAACAATATAACACACAGGGAAGCAAAGCAAATAGTATTGTACAGGAAAGATAACAAGCTTCAGTAACATACTGTAACAAAAGCTTTCTATCCACACTCAAGGCAAAAACTACCAAGAAAAAAGTAAGATGCATGCAACATAACCTTACCGCAACAAAATGTGGAAAAATGTGTTTAATTGTGTAAAAAAAAAAAAAGTGTAATTTTTTTATACTGCCACAAAACAAACAAGTGATTCAGAAATCCCATAAACACAGAAACTACAGCTATTTTTCCAAAATTCAAATCTTTACTTAAATGCCATCATCAGGTATAAATACATGTTATATGTGTCTAATACTTTGGTTTGATTTACAATTAGCAATCTGGCCTCGAAGATCTGCTAGCTTGGCTGTAGAGTATTTTGCCTTGTTGAACTGTACTTCAGTATTCACTAAGTGCTGTGTTTCTCCAAATGAATCAGTAACTGGTTCTTACTGAATACATTTTTTCACAAATGTCTTCATGGCACGCCTGTCAGCCAATGTGGCACCGAGAGGAGTAGCCACACAGTCTGGAGAACCAGATTCTGCAGCAACTGCTCCACAAATGGCCATTGATGAAGACAGTGGGAAGGATCCACAAAGCACCTGTGCTTCAGTTCCACTGCAAGACAACCCCTGGTGGCAACTGGACCTGAGGAGTATCTACAAAATAACAGCTGTGTCTGTCACCAGCATCAGCGACTGCTGCTCAGAGGAGCTGGACGGTGCTGAGATCCGCATCGGTCTCAAGAATGACACCAGCAACCAGAGGTGCAGGAAGAAAAGAGTACTTACTTGCTGTAGAAGTACTAGTACTTATCAGCCTTTGATTCTCTCTTTGGTTTCATACTTACATTTCAGGTGTGCCATCATCTCCATTGCAACGGGACAGAACAAATACAACTACCAGTGTGGAATAATGGAAGGTCGCTTTGTCCATGTTGTTCTTCCTGGACTACAGAAGAATTTGACAGTTTGTGAAGTACAGGTGTATGGGACTGTGCTTGGTAAGCTCCGCACATCATAAAGAATGAAACTTCACAAAATATGTTTATGTCACAGGTAGGCATGGGCCTGTATGAGATTTTGACAGTATGTTACCCATATGGTTACACGGTATTGTGGTATTGCGATTTAAGGCCTAAAATTTATTATTTTGAAATATCTAGGTAAAAAATATCAACTTTTTTCCACTTAACACAATATGTTTAATTTTTAAGCAACAACAATACTATGCTGCTAGAATAATATCAAATAATGGCATAAAATTGATTATTGTTATTTTAGTGTCAATGTACATACACATAAGGGGAGAGAGAGCAACCTCAGCATTTTTTCTTTTCTTTTTTTCATGTCGTGATTTTGAATAGATGTAGCCTACACAATGGTGGAAGTATAGACTCGATACCACCTAAATTTAATCATTGTACTAAATCGCAGATATGTAGTACTCTTGCCACTGTGAAGTAACGTGTGGGGTGAAATTACCTGATGTTAGCTAGTTAATTAGCCATTATCCTCAGATGCAAGCCAATAGTATTTATTTCACCACTGCTACATAAGCTAACTCTCTTAGCTTGTTGCAAATGTTTCAAATAGTTCAAGATAGTGTTACCTTAAATTTAACGTAGAGTGAAGGGTTCAGGACTGCTCGCACCAACCGGCGGGTAGGGGTCGTGTAACCAGTGTTGGGCTGCAAGTAGCGCCGTTACTAGTTTAACTACATTTCTCAGCCCCTCGGTGGTAGCGTTGCTATTTTCTCAATCAAATAGCTTTTCAGTAATGAAGCTCGTTTATTGGCTGAGTAGCGCGGTAGCTTCCACACATGCTACATTTTCTCAAACATTTCTGAAGGATCAGTAAGTGACGCCACCGCTACACATGGACCTGTATGTGCAGCCGGCGGAAGCGCTTCCGTGTGACGGTGACATCACGTATCGATTCTTGGGCTGATGTCTGCAGGGGAATAAAGACATGCCTGACTGAGTTTACTTTCTATTGTGATAGTTACTGTAACACCTCTTGTGAGAAGGATCAGGGTCCAGCCTGGACACCTCTTCAACTAGTGAGGAGGAAACTTTGATATGTAGTGACAGAAACTTATATATACATATATATAAGTGACCTAACTATAAAATATTAAAAAATTATAAGTAGCCTAGATGTAGCTAAGCTACTTTTGCCACATTGCTGTAGCTTAGCTTGCTACATTTCACTGGGGGGTAGCTTCTGTGTAGGGAAGCTTCATTTAATGTGGAGTAGCTAGTAGCTTAGCTCACTACATTTTCTAAGTAGCTTGCCCAACACTGCGTGTAACTCTATACGATGCACACAGGGTATTCCAGGTATGGGAGCTGAGCATTTCACCTCATTGGTTGGGCATGTCATTTTGAAAGAGCCATGTCTTTCACTAAAAAAACAACAACAAAACCTAACCCTACAACAAAATGGACAAAGATTTTCACCTTTTTACTCACTGACTTTTTCAGGTACATGGTAACATTGTAAAAATATACTATTCTATTTATACTATTTCTAGCTTTTATCTTTTTAACAGTGAGTCCTGTGAAACAGTTGTAAAGCACACACTGCACATCCATTTAAAGGTCTTAATGAAAGAGTAAGTTGTTTTTTTTTTTTGTTAGTTTTTTTTAAACCTGTCCTGCCCAGCAGCCTGGTATAGAGTATGATGAGCTGGATACCATATTGTGCCAGACAGATTTTACTTTAACAAGAGAGTATTAAAATACTCTTTTGTCTGTTTTATTATTTATTTAATTATGTATTGATTTGTCACTGGGCTGGACAGGGGGGCAGATATGGAGATGGGGGACACAGACAGACAGCACAGAGAAAGGACAACAACTGTAAGAGAAGGGGGATGGAGGGTGGGGACAACAGGGAATAGCAGAGGGAAACACCAATTGCAGAAAGTAACGAAACCTATAGCAATAGAACAGAGAGGGGAGCTTGGGGAGGAGAAAAACAACAACAAACACAAACAAACACAAACAAACAAACAAACAATAAAAATAATAATAATAGTAAAAGACAACCAGCCGAACAGCAGCAATAAACAGCTGACATAGTATGACAACTAAGAGAAAAATGAAAACAAGAAACAGTCACACACACTAAATAAGCAACACAGCACAGCCAGGAGAGCTGGAATAATAACAATTAATTTAAATAAGTAACTGAAAGAAAAGCATCAGGAATAATTCTAATAGGGACAACATAAGAAACCCAAGAAAAAATAACAATAAATACAAAGATTCCCAGATGCACCGTGATGCAAATGCGGAAGACCCCGACCCAAATGCCAGTTGACAACGCAATGCCGACGGAACGGAACCCACGGAAGAGCAGCACCCGGACTGACCGTGGCGCGCACACAACATAAACCAGTGCTCCCCCCCACCCAGCACCCTACCGCTGCGCAGCGAACAACCAAAACGCCCAATTGTCATGCAATTATCAACACCAATGCACAAATGAGGAGCCCAACGCGCACACTGCGCGAGCACGGCAACACCCAATGCCCAGCACCCCCCTGCGAATCCCGCGTGCGAGGTCGGGCAAATGAGAGAGAGAGCGAGCGGAAGAACACAACAGCGAAAGCCAGCGGAGAGAAACACCAGCAGCAAACCCGCCGCGCAGGTCACCGTGCACCCGCCAATAAAAGTCCGCCGTCCCCCCCAACTAAGGCCGTCTAGGCCGGAAATGCCTCCCCCGGACTCCAATGCACAAATTAAACGCCCAGCAGCCATCCAGAGACCCTGCCCAGGGAAAAAGCACAATGCATCAACATGCATCGACAATCACCCTACAATCCCACTGCAGCCCTCCAAACCGCAACCGGATCAACCCGCGCAGTGCCCAGAGACCCCCACCCCCAGAAGCCAGGGCATCCCATGACCCCCCCCAAAGCGCATGTCCCAGGGGAAACTGTACCCTGCCCCGAGGAAGAACAGCAGAACGCCATGCCGGGAAGCTCCCCGCCGCCAGGGACAAACAGCTTTTTCCTGTGTAGGTCACGTCATTTTCTGTTCACACTACACAACTTGCCGTCTTGTGACAGGAGTCTTGAAGTTGTTGTGGCATTCACACTATGTGAATGATAGGTGACAAGGGGTCACATCCTACATGAGCTGACAGCGACTGTGTCATTCGACGCTCGTCTCCAAACCACATTTTGTCAAGAAAACACACCTGAAATGTGAAACAGAAAATGACGTGACCTACACAGGAAAAAGCTGTTGTTTGTTATAATAAAGATACCAATTATAAAGACAAAAAAATATGGGTGAATGAATGCATTAGCGCATGCAGGTAGCAGAGATTGTCTGAGCTACAGAGAGAGCTGGAGGGAAGTGAAACGTGTTTTGCGGTAAAAAAGTAGCTGCCTGCTCTGCCAGCTACCTGCTCTCATTGGCTGGATGTGGATGTCGAGTCGTCCGACTCTTCTAGATATTTGGCATGCTAGATATCTGGCAGACGTCGGCGATGTGGCAGTCATGTGTCGGGGAGCCATTTTGATGCGTCATTGAGTAGTTCACACATAACGACTGATGACTGACAATCAACCGCTTATTTACTCCTGATCATAGCCTGACGGTTGCCGAGCTAGCTGAGCGGCAAATCAGGCTAAAATCGTGTAGTGTGAACTAGGCTTTAATAACCCCTGAAAATCCCCAGCAACTTAACTTCTCACTTGGATGCAGTGTACAAGTGTACTTCAGGACCTCACCACATCACTGTTGGGTGTGGTAACCAACAACAAACCAGCAGTGAAACAGGCTAGAAACTCTTTAAAAGAGAGGGCACCTAAACACGGGTTTTTAGATTGCTGTTACTCTTTAAGGAAAAAACATGACCTTTTAAGTTTAACCACACAGATGCAAATGTGCAAACCATTTACACTACATATGTTGCAGAAAGCCTGGAATTGGATACGATTAATGTTTAGTCTTCCTTAAAGAGAACGCACAACACTTAACAATAGCTTTTCCAAATTAATTTTCTTTTACTACAATGTCAAATTTTATAAAATAGCAACAACGTAAAACCAACAACCAGCAGCCTTTGTTATATTTCTGCCTGTAACGGGTAATATTACTAATATATTTTGTTGATCATTTCTAATTTAATTTTTTAAACTCATTTATCTTCACTAGAAAATGTGGCTTTGAGAGGAGTGGCTTATCAGTCTTCCCTAAGGTGGAAAACCACAGGTCAAGCAAGCAACGTTATTGATGGCCGTCAGTTTTCAACTTGCAGTGTAACTGAAGACATACCTGGTCAGTGGGTACAAGTGGATCTATTGGCTCCCTACAATGTGACTGTGATACAGCTTGCCTTCAGTGAGGACTGCTGCTATGGTGATATGGTCCAAGTGGATGGCAAAAGGTAAATATACGGTCAGACAAAGTTGGATGAATGCTTTGCCCATTATGCTGATATTTATATTATGTGAAGACTGTCCTTCCAAGAAAATCTACAGACTCAGCAGCAATTGCAAATGCCCAAAAAATTCTGTTAACCTTCAAGTAACAAAGCTCTCTAGTGACTACAGGATTAATTACTCTTGTGAACTGATGTTAGTACGTAAAAATTGAAGAGAGAAGATTTACCCTGTTTGAACATTTAAAGGGGGCATTTTGTTGCCATAAGACTGTCCGACAGCGTGTTTGAACAGTATCATGTAAGCAGTTTCATTGTATAATAACTTTTTAGAACAGAATTTATAGGACTTACAGGCCAAATTGTTGTCCAGTTCTCTACTGAGCTACCTTCTATAGCTCAATAAACTCCCCACTGGAAGGGTTTCAGGACAACTACGGCGGATACAACTCGAGTTTCATTATGGGCTTTATTGTGCACACATACACAATACTCGTCCACAAACTAGGTAGCCTGAATGCTACCGCTATGATATCTGTTAGTCTAGTTAGTTTTGTTAGGTTGTAAACCTGCAATGAAAACACAAACACCAGAATTACCTAATAATATTACCCAGTCATGTGATATTAATTTTTCATCTGAATTACTAGCCATGCTAGTTTAGTCACTCACCAGTCCTGAACATCAACTAAATGAAAATGAAACCTAAAGGTGAAACGCCTGCGCACTGTACCTAATGAAGCATACACAGAAAATATAGTCTGGAGACTAGGAATAATAATAAACCTTTAACCTAGCAAGAAGATAACATATATGGCTTCGTTTGGAATAAGTCGTTAAAAGTACACACTTATTTCTTGGATACTCCAGAACATAATAATAACACCCATCACTTATGATATATATGTAAACCACTAATTATACCTGCTGGAAAGTTCTACAATTGTCGACACTGTTACTAATGATGTAATTTTGTATGTATGTAAACTGACGTCCAAAGTGTTACATCACTTTATCCATTGTCTCCAAATTGTGACAATTTTTATTAAAGTCATCTTTTGGTCTCTGGTAGATAGTGCAGTTACAAGAGCACAAATGAATATGCATGAATATGTTTAAATAAAATATGTATAATAAAATGAGTGAAGGTACAAGAAATGTCATGTGCACCTTCTTTGTTTGTTTCTCTTTTTCAGCTGCAGGGTCATCTCCAGTTCACAATCTCTGGTGACTGTGGATTGTGGTGGAATTGCGGGTCGGTATGTGACTGTGAACCATCCTGATATACCACTGTCTCTGTGTGAGGTGGAGGTCTACAGCACTTTGAAGAATCCTTACAACATAGCCCCTCAGCAGCCGCCGGCCCATGGTACACAGATTATGCAGTTTTATGAAATCCTTGCAATGCAAAACTGGAAATAGAAGGTCATCACATTTGCAGATGATACTATTATTTACATTATAATCTCTATGACAATAGTTCTGCTGAAACAGTCAGTTCTTTAAAATTAACTTTTACTGTCCTGATTTCTTTTTCTTTGTTTTTAGCTTTTTATTATTTTCCATTTAACTCTTTTAACCCCGATTGTAACATTGTACTTTTATTATATTTTATGTTGCTTTTAAACTTTTACATATTTCCCTGTTGCTTTTATGTTTTATGTAAGCACTTTGAATTACCTTGTTGTTAAATTGTGCTATACAAATAAACTTGCCTTGCAGCGCCTTGCCTTTGTTAGCTAATGTGGTGGTAGTGGCCGATTCCATGCTGATGATATATTTTCCATTCATAAATGCAAATTGCTATTTCAAAATAAAGATTTAACTTTTAGCCCTTTTATAAATGCCACAGTCATGCTAAGTAATTGCACTCAATTATTTAAGATTAATCTCTACTTCAATCTTTTTCACAGGCAATCATGCCAGGCCTTCATTGCTACATCATCCATTCACAAATAAAATGAGTGGATTTTTTTTTTCTACCAACAGATTACTGCTTCTTCGATTCCTGTAGCCGTGACTACGTTCTCATTTACAGTGAACCTAAAACATGGTTTGAAGCCCAGACCTACTGCAGAGATATGTACACTGATCTGGCCACCATCAGCAACGTTCAGGACATGAATAGAGTCATAGACAAAATGGAGAATGACTTCCACGATTTTTGGATTGGGCTGTATGAAGATGTCTTAACCTGGAAGTGGTCTTTGTCAGATGAGGGTTACTATGGAGATGGTGAAGATGAGTTCAGGAACTGGGATGTCGGTGAGCCCAGCAAGACCGCCATCCAGCACTGTGCTTGCATACAACAAACGGGTGAATGGAGAGACCTGGACTGTGACATACCTAATTACTTCTTATGCTTTGATGGTAATATTATGGAAAATATTATTCACATGTGTTACCAAAGTAAATGTGGTTGATGAGCTGGTCACTATAGGCATTTGTCTTGTTAAACATTAAAGTTCATGAATATATTTTTGTACATACAAAATGATAAATTAATTAAATGTCTTGAGGGTAGGAAGTGAATTTAAAAAAATATTGAAACATACACTGCAATGTTACATGTATGTGTAGGACATGTGCGTACCAAACCAGTGATATTGTCCTTCAAATTATCTTGCAAAACAATATCATAATAATGAAAACACTGTAATTAGTTGGTTTATTACAATTACTCCCACACCAACAACTACTACTTTACCACAAGGTAAAGCACCACTGTGTGGAATTTTATTAAAATTTAGAGTATGTGTTGGTACATCATGATTATTTCTTTATTCACAGGCAGAGATGGGGCACCAGCAACAAAGATTCTCGTGGAAACACCTATGATGTGGGCCGATGCACAGCTCTACTGCAGGGAGTACCACACAGACCTGCTCAGTGTGAGGAACCAGGCTGAGAACCAGGAAATCCAGATCATGGTGCCGACAGGAAAGCTGGCATGGATCGGCCTGTTTGGAGACTCTTGGAAGTGGTCTGATGGGAGTATCTCCACATTCAGATACCAGGGTCTGAAACCCCCAACAAACGTAGGAGAGGGTCCGAACTGTGCTTACATTGACAGAAAATGGAGCGTAAGATCCTGCAACACCAAATCTATGTTTCTTTGCCAATGTAAGTGTTATACGAGTTTATGCTTTAAATTACTCCTTAAGCAAAACATGAATTAGTTGATTTACAAAAAGTTTCAAGTAAAATTTCAAAACCTTTGCTTATTGAAACTTCCAATGTGAGGATTTACTGCTTTTCTGTGTTTTGCATCGTTATTAAGTAAATGCTTTTGGTTGGTTGAAAAATGTAATTGACATTTTTCAATGTAAGTTCTTTTTGTAAACTAAATTATTTAGTTAATTGAAAAAAATATTGCTAACAGTTAAAATTCATAAGTAGTTGCAGCTCTACTGCAAATTTAAAAAGTTTATTAAGAAAGTATTTTTTTTCTTTCAGTACCAGTCTATTATTCTTTGTTATTCTTTGTTGCTGCTTACCCAGAATTCATGCTTGATGAAAAATTATGATTTTCTAGAGTAAATTAACATATTTGAAAGTAAAACCACTTTTTTACCCTTGTGAAATGGATTAAATTTGCCAGGCATTCAGCATTTTACTGTTCACATTTTCGAAAAATGTATTTAATTTATTTTCAAAGTGCATTGAAATGAACCTGAACTGCTTGGGGGATGGAAAATTATTCCTAAAACTCAGTTTATGATTAAAAAAATGTCATCAATAAACTGAACCATGCTAAACAAATGGTATGGTAAAATATTACATAACATAACAGCTATCACATCAGCAACCATTTTTCAGACTTTAAGAAGAGATCTGTCGTGAAGATCAGCACTGACTTTGACATGAGTGACCCGGTCATCCAACAACAAATCTTAAAGCAGGTGAGAAAGAGAAATTTTAATGGGATATTGTGTCATATGTACCTTCGTAAAGTCTATCACTGTGAAAGGGCATGGCGTGGAAGGTAAAACTTCTTCATCATAACATTTTATGTATAGGAATTCCAAATTCTGATATTAGACCCCTGTAACAGTGTTAGTAGTTATGATGAAGCAATTAGTAATTAATAGTTTGTAAGAGCCATATCTATTAATATCCAAGTTGCTCATTATTAAAGTTATTAGAAATGTAAAGACAGATTTTTTTGAATGCTTCCTAGCTGGAGGCAAAGATGAAAAGCAAGGGGATCAGTGACTTCAAAATCCGCTGGAAGACGTCAGGACGAGTTTCACGCAAGACTGAAGACAACACAGTAAGACTTTAATGTCATGTTTACTTCCTTTCTTTTTGTTATAGTAATTTTTTCTACACTTTTTAAAAAGATAATAAAATTAGTGAAAACAAAGTCAAGGCAATGGCTAACATAATCATATTTTCATCTTTATAGCAAATCCAGTTTGGACCAAATAAGTACACACAAGTCAAAACAAAGGAGGTACTGTAAACTAATTTCTGAATTTTAATATAATTTAGAATTTAAATTTCTAGTTTTCTTGGTCTTTGTCTTGATTTAAAAACATTATACTTTAATGTTTGTGAAGTTGGTGTCCTTGTTTCATGTGCTGTTTTCTCACTTTTTCTCTTTACTTTTTCACCTCTTTTTTTTTAAAGTGCTTTGTAACTTTTACTATATTGAGAAGTTCTGCATGATTAGAGTTTGTTTATTTACTGACCAGGTTAAAGCCAGAACACTGGCCCACTGTTTCTGTTGTTTCTGCTGACTTGATACCAAGTCATATTCAATTTATTTGACTTGTGCAAGTTTTGGCATAGCAGTAAAAGATGTAAAGGGAAATATGTTCATAAGCAGGGAAGTGTAAAAGTACACACATACACATACTCACTGTGTATTTAATGTATTTTCCATGTAAATATACAATGTAGGAATATATCTAATAATAATTCACCTTATTATCTTGTGGTGTTGTTCCCAATCTTTCGATTGACATAATAACACAACCATGTGTTAGTCTTTGACTCTCAGTACCACCAACAATATGGTCAAAGGCTCAAAAGGTGTATTCTGTGCTTTTCTACATGTTTACCTGTAGAGGGAGTCAGACTATAGAGTGTGTGTGCTGTCTTTTCTCCAACAGGTGTGTGACACCGGAGGGAGCTGAATCAAGAGTCCTGCCACTCTGACTGGGCTGAAGCTGAACAATGTGGACCAGTGGACTGTGTGTACTGGATGGTAAAAACAGGAAAGCTGATAAAGATGAAAATGTATTTGTAAATAAACGCTTTGTTTTTACCCCCTTCTTTTTAATTTACTCACTGTAACTGTATACAAGGTTTCTTTTAAAGTAACTCTGGCTGTGTGCTAACATTTCATTTTTAACTGAGCCACATTAATCTTACTCAGTCAATTATGACTAAATTAAGGAAGGTTGAAGCTGTCATTTTTTGCATTCAAAGAAATTGTGTGAGAAAACAAATCTTTCCGCTAAAGGTCCACTATGGAAGCAGCAGCTGATGCACATAAAAATGAATACTTATGTTGTACATTATGGAAAACAGGCTAATTTACTTCTTGCTGAGAGTCAGATAATATGATTCTTTCACTCTCCTGTTTGTACAATAATTAAGAAGCTGTAGCCAGCAGCCAGTTAGCTTAGCTCTGTCCGGTAACGCACAGCATTTTTTTGACTATTTGACTTTGGAAATATTTCTGAAAAGATGCATTTTAAGGTTTAAAATATTTATTGGTTTGCTTATGAAAATGTTTATAATACTGAGTGTAAATAAAAATGAAACTACAAAATGTACACACAACAATTATATAATTGTTTGCTGTGTCTCATCTCACTTCTTAGGACAAATTGCTTGCATTATTATTATTAGTAGTAGTTTCAAACCACTGTGTGTGATACCAGTTTTTGTTCAACTTGTCTATGTTTTACATTGATTGCTGTAAATCCTGCATTGAAAACTGCTATACAAATATTATCATCATTATTACTATATTTAAATTCTTGGAAATGTCAGTAGTGTGAGGGTAGGATAGCATAAGTGTACACAATTATTAACAGCAATAAAGCAATACACAAACACTGATTTTGAGGGTTTACTGTCAGATATAATTATTGATTAAAAAATCTAAATATCAGGTGGGGAGATTTGTCATTTCGATGCTCTGCCTCTCTCCTTATCACATAAATCTTCCATCCCAGCTTGTGTGGAGGTGAGTTGTGATCAACGAAAGACTTAGCTACCTGTGCCTCGAGTTTACTGCTAATTAGCCAAAAGACAAAATATAGTCAACTAGTATCTGGCTAACATGCATAATGAGCTACTAGCTAATGTAATAAGTTGGCTAAAGTTCAGCTTAGGCAATATCATGGCCATACAGGCTGTACATGTACATACTTGTACCTAATGGAGACACTACAGGTGAGTACAGTAAAATGTAGCCTATGTCATCACAATCGACACATTGATATGGAAATTAGGTTAACTAATTAAAATGCGCAAATTTGCCAACATTTGCCAAGGCAGGTGAATAAGATAAACAAAATAACTAAACCATATCACCACAGAACTTACGCAGTTAATTACTGACATGTACGTTCAAATATGCAAATTAAATTTACATTTAGCTGATGCTTTTATCCAAAGTGTCTTACAATTGCTATACATGTCGGAGGTCGCATGCCTCTGGAGCAACTAGGGGTTCAGTGTCTTGCTCAGGGACACATGGTGGATGTCTCACAGTGGGAATTGAACCCAGGTCTCCCACACCAAAGGCAAGCATCTTATCTATGCACCATCACTGTAAAGCTGTCAGTCCAAAAGGTGTTGACAGGTCTTTAAATATATGGACTAACACTTCAGAACAACTAAAGTTAATATTTTCTGATGTCACAACCCAAAAAGATTGGGAACCACTGGTTTTGTCTTTAAAAAGGTGATATGTACAATGTATTTTACTATCCTATCATGTTTCTCAAATCACTCTTTGTTCACTGATCATAACCTGTATTGAGGTGATATTGATACATTTTCCAGGCCACAAGACAAAAAGTTTCACAACCACTGCTTACTAACACATTAGCATCACCGACAACAGAATTGACTTTCATCCTGTTATTGTGCAAGAGTAGATATTTACCTTAAATTTGCATACATTTTCCCTTCCTGCAAACCACTATATGAGGAGGATGTACTGTTTGCATGCATGTCCCTCTATTTTGAGAGTATGTCATTTTAAAGCCATCTAAAGGAACCTTTTGTGGAAAAAGTGTTTCTTACTGTTAATCTCATGCATGACCCCTGCTTGCTTTGCAGAAGAAAGATCTGAAATTCACTTTTGCTGCTGTTTCCCTGTATGTCTCCTTAGGTCAGCAGGATGACATGACAACATATGTTTATTACTCAAGAGGAACAAGCTTGGTGGACAGTTAAAAGCTTTGCAGAAGTAACCACACTGACATAGCAATGAGGTGATTAATACAGAGATAGATGACAGTTTAGTCAGGAACCAGGAAGTGTGGATCGGTCTGTTCAATGATGCCTGGATGTGGTCGGATGGACAAGAAACATCCTTCAGGTACTGGCTGAGCGGCATGAGCGGCACACAGAATTTGGGAAACTGTGCTTCTGTTGCAGTGTCTCAGCATGGATGCTGGGTTGAAGCTCCTTGTAACAAGAAGTCCACGTTTGTCTCTAAGGGCGTTGAGTTACTGAAATGCAAATTAATAAATGAATTCCTTGTATATGCCACCAATTTATTAGACTTTAGCAGTGAGGAAATAGGTGAGTTAAGCCCACACTCACTATATGATCGTGCACCTTAGAGACTTTGACATGGATTGGGCGTATTCAGACGACACCAGAGATAAGGAATTTTTTGTGATTTTAATTTCAGGGAATTTTTCTGACTTTTGTTCTCGTAAATTTAAAACTTTCATCTAGGATTTTTTTTCTCGGTTTATTAACCCCCACCCTGGCTCTGTATTTTTTGGACACGTAAAATAGTCAATCTAAATATGGGAATACACTTGGGATAATTCAAGTGTAGCCTACACACGGGCTACATCTAAGAAACTGTCCCGTTAATTACTTAAGATCTCCCTAAAATCACTGAAGCTGCTGGGCTTGCTGAATGAAAATAATGCTGTTGTGTTAAGAATAACTTCACTTCAGCTGCAACCGCAGTGGAACAATTCAGGATGATCTTAAATAATAAATGTAAATATAAATATATATGTATCTAGTGCATGCATTAATATCCTACTTCTCATCATTGACACTGAGTTCAGATGTGGTGTGTAGTCCATGTATACAGGGTAACCTCGAGTTAATCACAAACAAAACCTGCAGTTTTGGAGCAGTTTAGAGATGCAGCGTAAATTGCCATGGCAACAGACCTTGGTAAACACCTATCCACCTTTCGTAGTACGGGTTAATCAGGAAGATACACCAGACGTCATGAAGTTACTCCTGAAGTTACCTGGATAAACCAGTTACCTCACGTCGTAGTACAGGCCAGTGCTCTCCAGTACAATAAGAGAACTATTGAAAAGCGATGTAAATAGGCACTACCTTTCTTAAAGCGGCTATAATAAATAATTTTATATTAACAATGGATCATATAACCATTTTAATGAGAAAGAAGAATTATCACCCAACTTTGTAGTGTGCTCTGTGGATCTTTATAGTGTCTTTCAGGTTCACTCCCACTGCTCTCATCAGCGTCTAGCAGGCAGCAGTTTTAGGTGGAGAATATTGGACTTGATGAAATGCAAAACATTTTCCTCACCTCCACTGTCAGGACAGTAAGAGGATGCTGTTTTAGTGTCAAAAATGGACTTGTCTTTCAGAGTAATGAGCAGTTGGAGGTCGCAGAGAACGTAGGTGAGTGTAGCCTCCAATCTTGTTGACCCCAGACACATTTCACCTAGACTATCAGCTGAAATCCACTGACCCAACAACAGTGGACTAAAGTTTTGAGTCGAGACAAATAGGCAGATAAAACCTCTTGAAATACTTAAAGGAATATAACATTTTGGAAAATACACTTATTCACATTCTTGTTAGATGAGATATTCCATGTCTTTATGGTTCAGCATAGTCCTGTCGTCCTGCTGACCGAAGAGTCCTCCTGAGTGACACATCCCAGCCTGTTTGAGCAAAACAGTCCTGCAGGGTTCTCTCAGTCTCTGGGGTCCAGAGTTTAACTTGTTTGGTGGCAGGGTTTGTTTCAGTCTTTGTCTGTAGGCCGGGTACAGAGGAGATGGAACAGAGAGATGTGGTCCTAAAGTCCGAAGTGGGGGCGGGGTGCAGCTCTGTATGCACCATGTATGTTGCTGTAAACATGATCCAGTGTATTCTTTTCACGGGTGGGAATGTCTACGTGTTGGTAGTATTTAGGGAATACAGTCCGTAGGTTGCACTGGTCTTACTGGTCTTGTCGGAGACTGCAGTCCGGTCTCCCCGGTGCACGGAGTGAGTCTGTAGCTGTGTTTTCTAGCACGCTACCTGAGAGCCAGGTTTCGGTGAAAATTAGAGCGCAGCACTCTCGCATTTCTCGTTGGACTGTAATCCTGGTTCTGAGCTCGTCCAGTTTATTTTCCTGCGATCGCACGTTGGCTAGCAGGAGGCTGGGTAGTGGTGGTTGGCTAGCTTGGACTTTTAGTCTAGCATGAAGCCCTCCCCTCTTTCCTCTGGTGGGCACTCCTTGGGCCAGCTTGTTCAGTCGAGCTCGGAGCTTCAGGGCCTTCCTGGGAGTAGTGGTGGTGGCCTCGGGAGCAAAGAATGTGCTGTAGCTCTGGTGGTATAAAACCAGTAAATTCAAAATGACTGTGTGTGTTAGTGTGTGTTATGCACTCCAGAAAAAAAAAAAAAGAAAAACCCTGCATTTGGGAGCAGAGCAAACACGTCTGCCTCGGGGGGCGCCATGTTCATATGTAGGTGTTGCTGTTAGATGAGTAGTGGAGTCTGTTTATTGTAAACTCATACACTTGTATAAGCGGCTGTCATCTTGGTGTTGACCTGGTGACCAGGATTGGACTGACCAGGACGAGGATAAAACACTGCAGGCAATGATTTGCAGCAGATTTTCCCTCCAATTTTCCATCTGTCAGGTGCTCCTATGGTAGGAAAAGGCATCACAGGAAAAAACTTTGCGTTGGGATGTATGGGCCCACTTGCTCCACTCAGCTCCTTTGGCGACAGCTGAAGTTGTCCGTATCACCTGGAATGATCCAAAATGCCAAGGATGATGTCACTGTTTTCACTGCCTGTCTGAATGTT